TTGAATCCGACATAAACAGCTCAAAGAGATATTGGTGTGGACATTATTCATTACCTACCTTCCCTCTAATCTATCAGTTCAAAATATGAGAAGAAAACAAATCCAATACCAGTTGAACATCAAGAACAGAACTGATAACAGAAAACAACAACAACTTGCTAACGTGTGCTCGTTGACAAATCTCTAAAATTGAGGGTTGAAAGAGGTTTTAATAAGTTCATTATCTGTGCAAGATATTCAATCGTTACACGAACTTGGATTCATAAAATGTTATCACTTTTATCGCTACAAAGAAGAGAGACCACCTAGAAGGCCTTACTTGCAGCTCGACGAGTAGAAGTGGATATAATTTAAACAACAGCGCTTGGTGCAACGGTTCCTGGAACCACTACTACTACTACTACTCGTTTGCCTGGCAGGCAACAATGTATGTTATTGTATTAGTGGCAAAGCTACTAAGGTTATCTGCCGCCATTCATAACTTTGAACTACTGAGCAGAGAGAAGACAGCCAGACAGCAGTACTCCTCTACCCACCCACTATTCACGCTAAGGGATTGACTGACACCCTTATAACACACCCACAGCTTAAAGTGTTGGGAATATTTTGTGGTATCGCATGGATTCGAACTCGGCTCGCCAGCTCCGAAATTCAGAGATATAGCAGACAAGAACTTAGATAATACGGTATCCCGTATATTTCATAAATATTATGTTGGGTGTTACAAGAATAATGCCATAAATAACATGTATTTATATTGAAATTCAGTGTGAAAAAAAATTCGGGAGGGTCCTTGAAAAAAAAAACAGCAAACAACTAAACTGATGCCTTTCAAAGAACAATTAATGGGTACCTTTTAGCTATACTTTATATACTGACCTGTCCGACGTTTTTTTGTTGTTGTTGTTTTTTCAGTGGTTTACGAATTTGAAAAAAAAAGAAGAAAAAAATTAATAAATAAAAAGTATCATTTCATTTTTTTATTATTATATGCAAATTAAATAGAAAATGTGTTTCAGTGTTCGGAAATCTTTACTAGATGTATTTCCGCAGGGTCCCCGAAAGTGTTCTGTACATAAAACCAAAATTAAGAGTAATAGATATTTTATTTCTTGCTTTTGAAGCTCGTGTGTGATGCTGTGTTGTAACCTACAAAGTGCATAATTCTTCTCGTGATTCATGGCATGCGCACGTTTTACTGACGCCACGACGGTATATATATATATATTGCAACGTTAAGCGTCCCTTATGTGAAATCCTTTTGGTGTCTACTGACTGACTGACAGACCCCTCCAGGCGGCTTCCTCCCTCCTTTCGTGGAAATGACAGTGAACTCTCCTAGGTATAATAAAATAGGTGACCCCTCCAGGCGGCTTCCCCCCTCCTTTCGGGGAAATGGCAGTGAAATCTCCTAAGTATAATAAAATAGGTGACCCCTCCAGGCGGCTTCCCCCCTCCTTTCGTGGAAATGACAGTGAAATCTCCTATTTCGATTTTTCTTATTAATATCACATCTAGAATACGAACGCCACCTAGATATGTTGTTGTTTTTGCTCTATAGTTCTATAAACTATAGAATTCTATGATCTAATTTATCATAATCAATGAAGTTTTTCTTAAGACATTTTTGGGGGGGGGGGCAAAGCCACATTGGACTATCTGCTATGTCCACCGCCGAGAATCGAATCCCGAATTTGTAGCGTTGTAAGTTCGTAAACCTACCGCTGACCCACCGGAGAGAGACTTTGTTTGTTTTTTTAAATGAATGACGTGCGGATAACAGGTATTAAACCCAGTAACTTTTGTTCATTTTTACAACCCACTTGTACAGTATTTATTGTGACGTCAGCCATGTCTGTCAAGAGGTATGCTTGTTATTTTTACAATAAACACAAAATAGTTTGTGGTTACGTAGGCGCTTGGTAACCAAAAATAGAGCTCTTTTATACCACTAGAGGGCTATAAAATTACGAGAACATAACTTAGGTTCTAATTCGTATTAGTCTACAATTTCTGAATGAGATATTATACACAGACGTTGGGTGGTATATTGCGTGGGAGGGGGGGTTTATACGTAATAACTTGCACAAGCACACATTATTATAACATACACATACGGGTATGTCTTGTAAGTGGTTTTATTACAAATAAAATGAAAAACCATTTTTGACACAATCGAGTAATCCATTAAAAAAAAATAGCTTGAATAGTTCGACCATTAGCCACCATGTGGCGCTGTTGATACATTTGGTGTTTCTTCCGTATTTAGCCCTCTTAATTCTTATTCGCAACACTTACAGCACTTGAGATATTTTAAACCTGTAAATTAGAAAATCCATTGATGTTACATAGATCTTTATATCTGAGGTTATGTGTGCTTAACTACATATTACTTTTAGTATCATTAACTTCACTTTTCCTTGTATTCATCGTGTCTAGCTCAATTGCATTTTTTTTTTATTTAAGCGCGTAATCATTTTTGAGGTAGCTGACGTCCTTAATGTTTTCTGCATCTATATGGTATATATATATATACATAGATGTCTGGTTAGATGAAATTCAAATACTTGCTTAAATTATACTATTTTACGTTTTTCTACTGGCTAAAACTTAGAGAATTTTTACCTGTTAATCGTCAGAAGTTAAAAAAAAAAAACTGAACTCCGATCTGTTGATGTATTTTAACCTAAACGGCACTTCGTACGTACTATAGCTAAACGACCAGGTCAGAGACGACTAGGGTTCAGGCATACAGCTGAGGGTGAGTAGCCAATCAGCAGCGCCCACTACCACATTTGTTTTGTCCGGCTGTTGGAGTTGTCAATTCTATAAAGTGCCCACGGTTAAAAGTGCGGAGCGGGTTCAGCGGCATCGAAACTCGAATCTTGGATTTGCCAATTTGTAGCCGGCTACGATAACCGTTAAGGTTTATCCGGCACACCTCCATTGTGAATAGAAGGTTTAAGCTCCAGAATATTTTATTATTGTTGTTGACATAATGCTCCCTTAACACGGTGTATTGATGTTGTTGTTGTCGTTGTGCTTCTTATAACAGGGTGTATTGTTGTTGTTGACGTTGTGCTCCGTTCGGAGCACAACGTCAACAATAATAATACGACTTGTTAACGGAGCACAACGTCAACAATAATAATACGACTTGTTAAAGGAGCGCATCGTCAACAACAATACGCCTTGTTTTAACAAGTCGTATTATTATTGTTGACGTTGTGCTCCGTTAACAAGTCGTATTGATACTGTGTTCCCTGAACAAGGCGTAAAACGTCGAAGTAAGTTGTATGTTTCATCTTTAAAAACGTACGTAAAGTGTTACAAGTATATAAAGACAAGTAAAAATTATCATATCTTCTCCTTTGAAACCTATAAAGAAAAGATCTTACATCAAGTCGCCTTATAGTCCTATTCCAATATCATCCAGATCTTTCTTCCTAAAGCGAAGACGTCAACCACAATTCACAGTCATTTGGCTTGCGTTATTTTTGTATGAAACTTGTAACTTTTATGTATAATTATAATAACTACAGAAGGCTAACCGCTCTTCATATGAAGGACGTTCCAGATCCCTTGTTATCTCTGGAACAAGTTCTCAATCGCCAATGTGTATACTCATTCTGATGACTCTGGTTACGCAACTTGGGTGCAACAAGTTTCTGTGAAGAACGGTGGCCTCAATCTTAGACCTCACATCTTATACAAAGCTTACACAGAAAGTCGACTTCAAATACCACGTTTAAACAGACCAAGGGTACAAAAGACCAGTAGAACTACTTCGAAGAACTTGACAGGTACGTGGTCGAGCGGAACGGTTGCGATTTTGTTTTTACTTCTGCCATCTTTCTCATACAAAACAGTCGTTCATTTCAAGCTGTGGCTGAAGCTTATTCTGTCAATTGCTTATCTTGTTAATGATATCAGGAAATGTGCCAAGTTCCAGAAAGTTCTCTTTCACACTCACGCTCTCTATTTTCGATGAAAACCATAGTCCCGCTCATTCCGGAACAATGGAGTCACTGTTCCAACCTCTCTACCGTACCAAGAGGACACTAAAGACTGTCATCTGGAAAATATTGTTCTGTTGTTGACTCTATATTATTCAGAATGAATACATTGTTCCGGAATGAGCGGGACCATGGTTATGGAGTCACTGTTCCAACCTCTCTGCCGTACCAAGAGGACACTAAAGACCGCCATCTGGAAAATATTGTTCTATTGTTGACTCTATATTATTCAGAATGAATACATTGTTCCGGAATGAGCGGGACTATGGTTATGGAGTCACTGTTCCAACCTCTCTACCGTACCAAGAGGACACTAAAGACTGTCATCTGGAAAATATTGTTCTGTTGTTGACTCTATATTATTCAGAATGAATACATTGTTCCGGAATGAGCGGGACTATGGTTATGGAGTCACTGTTCCAACCTCTCTGCCGTACCAAGAGGACACTAAAGACCGCCATCTGGAAAATATTGTTCTGTTGTTGACTCTATATTATTCAGAATGAATACATTGTTCCGGAATGAGCGGGACTATGGTTATGGAGTCACTGTTCCAACCTCTCTA